TAATTATCACTTACACTTGCTCGGCTGGAAGAGCCGCTAGAAATTTTATTGTGTAGCTGAAAATTGTTATTGTCAGCAAAAGATTTGTAATAAATTACAAGGGAAATTGCACGTAACTTACCTATATGATTTTGACTGGGTGCCCATAACCCTTAGGTATGTGCAATTTACATGAATTTTCCGAGGTTTTAATTGGTTTATTAATCTGTTGGAGTGTATATCCATTTCAGGCATGTAAGAAGCTCAATCAAATTGAGCTCTCAGATTGTGAAATATATGCCTCCTGTGAACCTTGCCCAATGTGCTTTGGTGCCATCTATCTCTCGAGAATCAAGGTAACACCAAATCCTCCTATTTCATTTTTGGCATCTTGATATTTTTAAAGCTGTGTTTTCTCTGATTAAATATTTCTGGAGCAGAGATTGGTTTATGGAGCCAAAGCCGAGCAGCCATAGCAATTGGGTTTGATGTATTGGAAGAAAGCACACAGTTTTGCAAACAAATCTTCAATATTATCCAAAATATTTGATCAGTCTAATGTGCTCGTGGGTACAGGATTAATTATATGCATTTGTAGAGTTGAACGTATTGATGCTCGGATTCAGTCCATTGTAAAGAAGAGTAGCGCTTGATTGCTGACAATGATGTATTTGTAGGATTAAAAGTCAAGATTTAAGAGCCAATCATCACTTTCTTCTGAGTATTGCTCTAGAATCTTAGCTTGTAGTGATTAACGCAGCTTGATAAATAACCTACTGGGGTTATTTTCCAAGTAAATTCTTGCAATCAGATACCTGTTGTAATTGTTGCTTCCTCAAAATAATTGAATCAAGTCAATGGAGTTGTATATTTTGGACAATTTTCACACTACATTTGCCCTTTACAACAAAAGCATCAATCTAAGTAGATCAATGATGTTGCTTATTTTTACATAGCATTCAAAGTAAATGCCAGGGACAACATATTGAAAATTAGGAAGAGAATCCTATCTACAAGATTGTGGTCTCTTCCATTCCCCCATTGTTTTTCTTAGTTTTATGATTGGCACTAACATGGATGGGTATCAACCATTCACCAAGAAAATTTTGTTTATCGCCCATTGCGAATTGCAAGTTCTACTTGACTTGGAAAGGTGTTGGAAACGACGGTCATGCTACCACTAGCATCAAAGTCATGACCAGATTTATCAGATGTTTCACCAAGCAAGTGCTCTACCTCTTCTGCATCCCATGCATCATTAGCCCATGGATGCTTTGTCATCCTTCTCAGTCCCTCTAATTCCATAGCCACGTCCTTCATTGTAGGCCTTTCCTCCCCTTTTACACTCAAGCATCTCCTTGCCAGGTTAGCTACCTCATTAAGTTGCTCAATGTTTGCTTCATTCACTATACAACCATCAAGAATTTTTCCCAAGCAATTATCTTTCATTGCAGAAAGAAAATACATGGAAAGATTTCTCTCTTCCTCTGTTCTGTCAAAGGAAAATACCTTTTCTCCAGTCAAAAGCTCAAGAAGGACAACTCCAAAGCTATAAACATCACTTTTGTCTGTTAATTGGCTTGAACGCAAGTATTCAGGGTCCAAGTATCCAATAGTTCCTTGAACAACTGTAGATATTCCAGCTTGGTCTTGTGGAACCAACCTTGAAGTACCAAAATCGGATACTTTTGCTGTGTAGCTATCATCTAAGAGTATGTTTGTAGACTTTATATCTCTATGAATGATTGGTGTAGAGGCTGTAGAGTGCAAATATGATAGTACTCCTGCAGTTTCTGTTGCTATCCTTAAGCGGATTTCCCAAGTCAATGATGAAGCCTTACTTTTATTCTGGATGTGATGGTGAAGAGTGCCATTGGTAATGAATTCGTAAACTAGCAATGGAACCTCTGTCTCTAAGCAACAACCTAACAGCTTCACCACATTTCTGTGGTTGATTTGTGAAAGAACAACCACTTCATTTATGAATTGCTCATTTTGACTTTGATCAATAATGTGGGACTTCTTGATCGCAACAATTCTCTCATCTCTAAGAGTTCCTTTGTACACTGTTCCATAACCTCCTTGACCTATAATTTTGCTTTCATCAAAGTTGTTGGTGGCCTTCTCAAGTTCTTCAGCTGTAAAAATTTTAGCTACTTCTGTAGATCCTTCGTGGTTGGATAGTTGTTGTTGCAACATCAAACCTCCATTTTGCATGAAGAACTTCTGTTTCAGTTTGATGAGCTTCCATTTATTATATCCCCAGAACAGCCAAGTGCCGACTACTAGAAAAAATGCAAGGCCTCCAATCCCTTTGTAAATTAAAGAAATAAGAGTGATTATGAGAGTTAATAAAACATGTTTTGGCTAAAATGGAAGCTAGAAGTTCAAAAATAAAAAAAGTGTTTTGCAGTTTAGACTACAAAATACTAACCATTGGATTATGAAAGACCCTTGATATTAAGGGAGGGCCCCTCCATCCAATCTGAACTACAAAACACCATACTCTTAAAAAGTGTTCTCTCTTGTAGGAAATTAAAACTGAAGTGTTTGGTGGACATTTTGCTATTAGTAATTGTTGGGTTGAAGTAAAACAGATATTTGGAATAGGCTCAAGAGTTGTTTTGATTACTTAAACAAAAATCAAGGCAGGAAATAAAAATCTGAAGTTGAAATCAACTACACTGCAAAAGTATGTTAGATATGACTACTTGAAAGTGGATTAAAACATGTGCACTTGCCTAGAGTGACTAGAATTAGATTCCAGTTCTGTCGATGATTTGCAACGCAACCTTGTGCAGTACCGTTTTCAAAATGGTAACCTTTGGGGCACGAACATGTATAATTTCCTTCTGTATTGGTGCAGAGCATACCTCCTTTACAAGGATTGCGATTAGGGGGTGAACACTCATCTATGTCTGCAAAAAGAATGAAAACTATCAGAACAAGAACTATTATTTTGACTTTCATGAAATACAGCGTGAGTATAAATGGGTTACCTTGGCAACCACTAGGTAGGTATGGATTTCCTTCAAAACCGTCTAAGCACTTGCATCGATATCCATTATCATCAACAGGAAAGCAAGTGCTGTTTCCTTGGCATGCTTTTGCCTTTTTAGTTTTACCACATGTATCGTTCTCGTCCCGAATTGACCAATCAAGCACCATAGGGAGTTTAATAACATTTTGCAATTCGCGAAGCAATTTTGGAGAAAAGTGGAACTGACTTTGTTCCACGACGAAGCCATAGCTGCAAGGGTTGAATGTCCAAACTTTTTTATGACTTTTGTAGCTCCTCACTGTTATATCGATGTAGCTCATTCCTTTGGCAATGGATATCTGGCAACAGCCGATGCCAGAACATGTGTCATTGGCTACATAATCAATTCTGTCACATATGGTTTTGCAACCTGCAGTGTAGCTTTTATCGCCTTCGACGATACCTGTTACTTCCGCTTCCGTATCACAGCCAACGGCAACAAACTTATTTTCATTGTCAGAGATAGTAAAACTACTGTTAAACTTCAATCGGAGCCAGGTAAGTCTATGGCTACCGCTGCCGTTAATTCGATGACCCGACTGATCATAGCAATCGCGGGCTGTAAATGTCCTTATCTGCACCCTCCCTTCAAGAGTTATGTTGGTGACATTGATATTACTATTCCATAAAAATGCTAATGGGGGACGGAAAGTGTCATCGCAACTTATGAGAAAATCTTCATTGTAGTAACATCCTTCTCTTGTACCGAATGGATATGGGATTTCTACATTACCACACCTATCTGGACAACCATTTGCAATGGGAGCTGGTTCTGCTACAATTGCTGCTAACGGTGCTGCAATAAGGATGACCAGCCAAAACCTTTCAAGATTTCCCATGGTGAGTACTGCTTCCTTCTTTCTTTAGATTGAAATTGAAATTCAAATTTAAAGATCCTGCAAATGAAAATCCTTATATAGTTGTAGAATTTGGAAGACCAATTAATTGAATGTTAAAATGAAATTATTGCATCAATATCTTGATGAGACATGATTCTACAAAACTTATAAAGTCCAATGTTGATTATAGTTTAAAATCACACGAGAATTAGAACATTTCAAGAGTGATGCAATGCAATAGCAGACATGTTAAAGTTTGATTAAAGGAAAGGATTACTCAATTAATAAAATGATTACTCGACTTGATGCGCAAATTAGTTGAAGCCACGCAGATAAGTGGATGGGGGGTAAGGATGAGTGGAAAAGTCTGCAACCTAAGCAAATTTGAAATTCGATCAAAACCATAACTAATGTGCAGGATTTGATTAGGTTTTGAATTTTTTTAATTAAAAATTAAATCAAACCAATTTCAAACAGTTTAAATTTAATCGTTGGATTTAAAAATTAAAAACCAATTACGAGAGTGAGCATAACTAAAAAATCTAACAAAAAAAACTTTTATATAAATTTTTTTAATAGTTCCTAGATTTTTTAAGGTGTTTTTGGTACTTTTCACCAAATTATTTATTTATCATGATAATTTTAAGTTTTTTAATAATTAACATTAATACAATAACAATTAAGAAATTAAAAAATATAAATATAAATTTTCAATTAAAATTAAACCCTATCTAAAATAGTTATTCTCAAAAAATAAATCAAAACCAACTAAATTTGTTTATCTTTTAATTTAATTACCTTTAAAAAAATTAAATAATAAAAAATTTAATTAACTAATAATTTAATTTTAATTGTAACTGAAACTTGAGCATACCCGTTCTAGTCATGGGCATGTACGTTGCAGTGGCCCAGTGGGATATTAATTCAATTCTCACGGATTCCAAAATCCCTCAAATCGAATGTATGGCGTCCTAGGTTGACTATTTGTTTTCCAATAGAAACATATGGTGCAAAGACAAACACTAACTGTCGTGAACGCCAATAAAAAAATAAATAAATAAATAAAAAAGCAAGATGATGGAGGAGCTGGAAACAGTTCGAGGCGCACTGGCCGTATAATAAAAAGGTGTACCTATCTGTTTATGACTTATGAGATGGGTTTAATTCCCTTTTTTATCTCAAAATTGCATTTGTTGAAAAAAAAAAATGATTCAGAACAATTAAGAGAGTGTTTAGATTAATTGTTTAAATATAATTAATAA